GGTTCTCCTTTTCTAAGTGTGCTGAGGTTTGGACCCAAGGAGTCCCCAGTGTTATAACCAAATATGGATGTACTTTGCTAGGCAGAAGCTAAATATATTGAAGGAAAACATGACACGCTGTGTTGATTCCTACGTCATTGTAAGGCTTCTCTTGAGAGACAGCATCTTTATGTGTGAAGCTGTGAAAGTTGCATCAATGCCAGTGATATCTGGGCACCAAAGAAGGGAAACAACCCCTCTCCACTCTCTCTTCCCCCAGCATGCTCCTGATAAATAGGTGAGATTCCTTCTGTCCAGATAAAAGCTTTTATTTTTCTGTTTTTCTTTTTTTCTACACTTTGAAGAGATGCAAAAGAACAAAAGAACTTCTGTATTACAGTTTCTTTGAACTCTAGCCAATTCCTTTTTATGTTGCTAATGCCATGGAAATATTTTCCTTTTCATGTTAGCCAAAATAATATATCTGCAAGGTTCAGTTCCCACCTTGTGAATGGCAAAGATCACAAGACAGCAAAGCACAAAAAGGGACATACTGGTTAGCATTCAAGAAGATACTGGGCATGCTGCACAAGGAACATCAGCCTGCTCACTTGGTGGCTTGGTTTAGGCTTGGCTTTTTTTTTTCTTTTTTTTTTTTTTTCTTAATGATAAAACAGGCAAACAAACAAAAAGCTTGATTCTGAAGTCAGTCTTTTGCAAATGTGGATCAGTTAAATGTGCAGATGCATTTCTAGCTGCATGGGTATCTTTTTCAACTTGCTGACTGACTAGCAAATACCACAATGACTTTGGGACCATATTTTGATGCCTAAAATCCATCTTCAATATTAAAATATTAAAATATATTTTAATATATTAAAATATATTAAAATAACCATCCAAAACAAATTTTCTGGCCCAACTGTGAAAGAATCATGAAGCCATTGAAAACGTTAAGGCTTCTCTCTTACCTGTAGGTAATTATGTTTTGAGAATTTGTTCCCAACCAGTCAGCTGACAAAAGGTAACTTTATAATTTCCTTGAATTATGACATATCAGTCCAGTTAGCTGCTTCAAGCTGCACCTGTGGGAAATGAAAGGAAGACCCATACATTGCATGGGTCTGGCCTGCCCTTACCACCAAGCAACCCAGAAAGTAGAAGCAGAGACTTCTTGGAATGTGAGTGGATTATTAATGGTTGGGTAAGGAAAAATTGTGATTTGCTGCTGTACATGGAGGACAAGAGTCATTTTGCATTGACACACTATTTCTGGAGTCAGGCTTCCTGTGATCCAATGATAAGTGCTGATGCAAAGGTAAATGATCTTGGGAAAAACATGGGTCCATAACTGGCGTAAAGTAACATCTCTAAAGAAAGTTTAAAATAGATACAGTTGCTGGGCTCCAAAATGGTGTTGCCACATATCAACTGTGGAGATTTGTGACCAAGGACAGCTTGGACATTAAAGAGTGAGGTTTGGCTCCTGAGCACAAACACATTAGCCAGTTAAGAGGCACCAAGACATAGAGAAGGTATTTCTGACCTGCAGAAACATGGTCATTTCAGAAATGTCTTGCCAATAAAAACAGATTCCTCTTTCTACTTCTCAAATTACTTACTAACCACATGCTCAGGCTCCAGAAAAGCTGCCTTCACCAAAAAAAAAAAATGTGTGTTCTTCTCCAATAACAGATGGAGAGGAACAGAGTGAGAAAGAGAAGACAAAATAAAGGGTGTTAGTAGGGAAGAAAAGAGTAGGACAAAATGAAAGGAAGAAAGAATTAGTAAAAGAGAGTAAGGGAGAAAGGAATGGAACAAAGAAGAAAGAAGAAAGAAAGAAAGAAAGAAAGAAAGAAAGAAGAAAGAAAGAAAGAAAGAAAGAAAGAAAAGAAAGAAGAGAAAGAAAGAAAGAAAGAAAGAAGAAAGAAAGAAAGAAAGAAAGAAAGAAAGAAAGAAAGAAAGAAAGAAGAAAGAAAGAAAGAGAGGGAGGGAGGGAGGGAGGGAGGGAGGGAGGAAGGAAGGAAGGAAGGAAGGAAGGAAGGAAGGAAGGAAGGAAGGAAGGAAGGAAGGAAGGAAGGAAGGAAGGAGGAAGGAAGGAAGGAAGGAAGAAGTGAAAGTGAAGAAAGAAAGGAAGGGAAGGGAAGGAAGGGAAGGGAAGGGAAGGGAAGGGAAGGGAAGGGAAGGGAAGGGAAGGGTTTCCTTTCCCGTTCTGGAAGGGAAGGGAAGGGAAGGGAGGAAGGTGAAGGGAAGGGAAGGGGAAGGGAGGGAACGGGAAGGGAAGGGAAGGAAGGGAAGAGGGAGGAGGGAAGGGGAGGGAGGGAGGAAGGGAAGGGAGAAAACACTCAGATAAACTTCATTTAGCTGTTGTTACCAGACCATGGTTTTTGAGTCCATGGCTTTTAATCATTGGGAGCATTTCCTAGTTACAACTTTGGCACTCTTCAAGTAGTTGGCTCACTGTGTAGGTAGCTGCTGTTCCTAACTGGAGAGTAGTGGTTTCTGCGGGCAAAGGTGTGGTAAGAATTCAGGGACTCAGGGCAGCATATCTTTACCAGCCATACACAGGAAGGTGGATCCATCCACTGTCTCTCCACTTATTTCATGCACATTTCCTGACTGCCTGAAAAGCTGCCTCACTAAACACAGGAAAAAGTGCCTTTGGAAAGATTTGGTTTCTGAATTGCTGCTTTGTCCTGTCAGTGCAGGAAGGACAGACAGGCAGGCTGTGTCTGGTGCCTCCTCACACCCTTGTGAGCCATGGTGCCAAAAGAAACAAACTGAAAACAACAACAGGGAGCTGCACTTTTTAAAGCAGAGGTACTGCTGAAGAACTGGGAGGGCAGGAATGGTGTGGTATGCACCAGGGATAGACTAAGGGCATGCTGGGCCTGTCCTTATGCCCTATGATCATAGAATCATAGAATATCTTGAGTTGGAGGGGACCCATAAGGATCATCGGGTCCAACAGGTAACTCTTTCAGATACAGTTAGTGTGAACTTGACCTTCATAAAAACCTCAAACCTCTACAAGGTAAAGAACAGTGAGGTAACTTACATCTCCAGAATGGCCACAGCACTGGCATAAATAAATCCTGCAGGGCACCTATACTCTAACCCAGTTAACAATTGCAATGTCGTGGGTGGGGCAACAAAAAAAGCATTCCCATTTTTGATATATATATATTTTTTTCATACAGAAGCTTGATATATAAGATTCAATGTCTGCAAAATTTCCATTTACATCATCAAAAGAGTCAGACTTGAAAATGAAGCTAAAATACTTCCATGCAAACATCTCTAAACTTCTACTGTAGAATAATAGAATAATAGAAATGTAGCATGATAGATTCATAGAATCATAGAAATATAGCATCATAGCTTCATAGAATCATAGAATTTTGGGAGCTAAAAAGAGTGTTTAGAGATCATCTAGTCCAACCCCCTTGCCAGGAATGGGGACACCTTATACTAGATCAGGTTGCCCATTCAAACTAGCTTTAAACCTCATAAGCATTGGGTATCCACAATGTCTTTTGGGGACATGTTCAAGTGCCTAGCCACCCTTGTCGTAAAAAATGTCTTTCTGATCCCTAATCTAAATATAGCCTCTTTCAGTTCAAAAGCCCTATCACTACAGGCCTTGGTAAAAGGTTTTACATGTAAGCTCCCTCTGAGTATTGAAAGGCTGTGGTAAGATCTCCCCAGACCCTTCTCTTCACTTATCTAGACAAACCTAGCACTCTCAGCCTCTCTTCATAGGTGAGCCCGTGCATAATTTTTGTGACAACCTTCTGGACTTGCTGTAATACATCAATGTGTTTCTTATGCTGAGGACCCCAGAGCTGGACACTGTACTTCAGGTGGGGACTCATGAAAGTGAAGCAGAGGGGGAGAATCACCTCCCTTGACTTGCCAGTAACACTTCTCTTTATGTAGCCCGGGACATGCTTGGCTTCTGTGCTGCAAGTATACAGTGATTGCTCATGCCTAGTTTTTCATCCACCAGTAACTCTGAGTCCTTCTCTATAGGACTGCCATCAATCAAATTGGCATCCAATCTGTAATGATACCAGGGATTACCGTGACTCAGGTGGAGGACCTTGTACTTGTCCTTGCTGTACTCTATGAGGTTCACCTGGACCCATTTTTCCTTCTTGTTCAGGTCCCTCTGGTAGGGACCTGGACATGCTGGAAAAATGCCTTCTCTCTGGTGTATTAACTACACAATGCCCTTTGGTGTCATCTGCAGATTTGCTGAGGGTACACTTCAGTCTATCATCTATATAATTAATAAAGATGTTGAATAATGTCAACCTCAGTTTGGGATACAATTTGCTACTGGTTTCCATTTGGACATTGAGCCATACATAATAACCCTGTAGATGAATTATACCTTATAATCTTTTTTACTCTCTTCTTAAAAGCTGGTTGTTTGCTATTTCTGATATTGAATGGACACCGATTTCTGCCTTCTTTTGTTTCACTCTTCAACATCTCAGACATTTCCAAGACAGCATCTTCTGTCCATTGCCTTCTCAATCTTTCTACCCTATCAACTTCCATGTAACTGGATCTCCAGTGCATGGTGGAAACGTATCCTTTTTATCACTCTCATCTTACCTAAAACACTTCTCAGATGTCATCGTTTCGGGTTTAATGTGGTGATAGGAGGAGTTTAAATAACAAGATAACTCTGATGTACTATCAAGAATTGCTTATCCTGATATTCCAAGTCATGGTTTTTACTTTCCTATCCAATGCTCAATAAATTGCCTCCTTCCCCTTAACTGCAGATTATTTGTCACCGTAGCTTTTCAGGAAACTGCTCAGAATCCACACTGAAAAAGGATGTCATAAACTTTACAAAAATGGCCTTTCCAACATCCCAGGAGAACTAACAACTTTGATTTCTTTGAAATGAAGCTATTACAGGTATACCAAACACTAAGAATAGGACAGAACTTGAGGGGAAGAAAAGCTTGCTGCTCATACCACACACACACAAAAATAAATACAAATAAAGAAATAATAATACATTTAAAAAAATCAAATAAACCAAAAAAGAAACTTCATGTACAGCAGTGTCTCAGGGCTTATGGTCTAGCTCCATAGATTTTAACAAGCATCTGTTATAGCCCATTGAGCAAACATTTTGAACTGCTTTTCATCCCAGACAATGTGTTCAAGTGTCTCATTAGTTATGTTAATTAGTGAATTTCTTACAGAGTTCAGTTCGCATTTCCCACTTTTTCTTCTGCATTAGCATGGCATTCTCTGTTGAGAATGCTAGATCAGATCTATAAAGCACATTTCCTAACCAGGTAACACATCCTGCCAGCCAAAGTATGGCACACAGCCTGCAAGAAACACAAAAAGATTCACACAGTTAAACTTATTCTAATGTTTATTAGTTTCTACACAGAAAGAATGTACTTACTTGGGCTTTGCCATGGCCCAGTGCTGAGTTGCATCTTAGCAGAATTGTAGGGAAGAAAAGTTTTGCTCTAGAAAATTAGAGCACTGGCATTTCTTTTCAGCTTGTGTTAACATTCCCAGGAGCTCTCATTTTACACAGAGGACAGCAGAAATGCTGTTACAGCAGAAGTTGGGTATTCCCTGTCAGCTGGTTCATCAGAGGTCCACAGGAGGTCCTGATCCCTCCGGCATACCCTGCTCATATCAAAAGCATGGTAGACAAAAGCACTTGCAAGCTGTAAATCTGAGGGGGAACATTTTTGAATAAAGTGGTGTATCGTATAAACAAGAACTAAAAAAAATAACTTTAAATGGGAGTGTTGCTATGTTTGTCTATGTTCTCTGTGAGCTGTTTAATGTAGATTATTAGATAGTGGATATGTCTGCACATGTGTGCTATAGTGTTTGCCTCAACACTTCTGACAATTTCTTTGTCACTTACCAAACACTTACAGCACTTTCTTTGAAAGTGACATAACCTAATATTGGAGAGTGATTCCACTAATATCCCATTAATTGGCATCACTGGGATTAATTTGTTCCAATGTGAGTAAAGGTTCTAAAAAGATGATCCAAATGGTTTGACCTCAATATATGTCTAGAATTAACATTTTCTGAGCACTAAAAGAAAAAGAGCGTTGCAGAAAAGCTAAATTAATTGTTTTTGTGTTTGTCTTTTTTTTTACTTCAGTAGGGAAGAAGTTTCCAGAAAGGACATCTATTAATAGAGAAAAAGTCTGAGAAACCCTGTCAATTTAAGGTATTTACTGTATACTTCATGTTGTGGTAGTAAATAATATATTGAACAGTAATCCATCTGCTGCAGCAAATTTTATATTTTTAAAATATAAAGGACTATTTTTTAAAACTCAAATTTAATGGTTGTAGAAATGTTCTTAAAGTCATGTTTAGTAACAAGGGAATAAAATGTTGCACCATATTAGACTTTTAAAATTTTCCTGATTGTGGGGAAATAGAATCATAGAATATCCTGAGTTGGAAGTCACTCATAAGGATCATCAAGTCCAGCTCCCGGCACCGCACAGGTCTACCCAAAATTTTAGACCATGTCAATAAGTGCACGGTCCAATCGCTTCTTAAATTCAGATAGTCTTGGCGCAGTGACTACTTCCCTGGTAAGCCTGTTTCATTGCCTGACAACTCTCTCGGTGAAGAACCTCTTCCTGATGTCTAGCCTAAACCTCCCCTGCCTCAGCTTGACACCAATCCTGTTGGTCCTATCACTGGTGATTACTGAGAATAGGTCAGTGCCTGCCTCTCCACTCCCCCTCGTGAGGAAGTTGTAGACCACAATGAGGTCTCCCTTCAGACTCCTCTTTTCCAGGCTGAACAGGCCAGGTGACATCAGCTACTCCTCATAGGTCTTCCCCTCTAGGCCCTTCACCATCTTTGTCATCCTCCTCTAGACACACTCCAACGGTTTTACATCCTTTTTGTGCTGTGGTGCCTAGAACTGCATATAGTACTCAAGGTGAGGCTGCACTAGCACAGAATAGAGCAGGAAAAAGATCAGTCTGTCATCCACATAAGACACATCAGTAGACATCATAATAAGAACAGAACTTAGTTGGAAAGTCATGTTTCACAGTATGGCTGACTTCAAGAGAATCAACAGGGACACTGGTAAAAATGATCAGGCAATGCAGTTTGATGAGATTTTCAAAATTATGTGTCTGCTCCCACATTACATTGGCAAAAATTGCAACAAATGGAAAAACAAACAAACAACAACAACAAAAAAAAAAAACTCACCTTGTCAATATAAAGACAGGACATGAAACAAGAAAAAAGGTGCTTAGCTGACCAATGGAAGGAAGCCACCGGCAGTTTCATAGGTATGTAAATTATAACTCGTACAGTTCAACATATACATAAATGGAAAAATGGATTAAAACAAACGATAAAATCATGGCAAGATCTACTTTTGATGCTAAAATTGCAGAGGATGTCATTACAGAGTAAGTGGAAGATTATCTAAGTCAGCTGAAATTTAGATTAGTGGTATTTAACGTTTAAAAAATAATCATCATTGTACTTCTCCAAAAAACATTTTACTTATAGAAAATATATTGATAGTAACAGTTCTCTGAAATTGTCAGCCCAAAGACAGGTTAGCAACATAAGTGAAAAAAACTGCACTTTTTGTAAAAGAGACTGATAACAAATCCAAAAATACTATACTGTCATAATACATTTCATGTGTTCAATGCTTGAATATTGAATTAAATTGGTAACCAGATATCAAAAAGGTACAGTGAAGCATCTTGAGTAATATCACAGACAACAAATTGCTCCTGTACAAGGATATACATGGACATACTCAGACAGTCTAAGCCTCTTCAAATGCAAGAAGAGGTGATTGAGGCAGAGTTTGACAGACATCTGTATAGACGTCACACATTTCCAACACTTGTGTGGAGAAGAGGAAGAGAAATTAATTGTATCATGTAAGTAACCAGCAGCAAATAAACTTGTCAGTAACAAAATGACAAGAGGAAATAAAACAAAAATCTTCCCGTGCTATATGGCACATATAAAGCAGCAGCTCATGTGTGGGTTCACAGTGCTAAACTGCATTATCTCTGGGTGACACAGTGGGATGACAGCCTAGAACAAAGCTATGCACCTAGGAGACCTTCCTGCAAGTGTATTGACTCCTCAGAGTGGATACTCAACAACATCATCTACATCATCTTTGTATCATGACCAAGAGAGCACATCTTGGGCACAGGAGCACATGATTCACCCTCAATCACACTAGTACTGTGGCTCTTGAGCAGTGGCCTCTGGGCATGGTGTATTGCCTCCCTTCTGTGCATATGCTGCAAGACACTGTGGTGACAAGTGTTCCACAGCTTTCTGGATTTTCACAACCTTGATTTTTATTGTACACAGTATGCACATAACTTCTTTCCATGTAACTCATGGGCACACCACTGTTTACTGTAAAAGGGTGCTATTAGCCCCTCCCCAAAATGAGCTTCTAGTTATCTCTTGTTGCATCAACTTGCTGCCTATGTATCTCCTGTTTTCCCTAGAGAGACGATGACCTTAAAGATTTGGTCACTTCCATGTGGTGGTCTAAGACCAGGCCAGCAGTAGCTTTAAAAGCCTAGCGCCAGCAACAACACAACTTAGACCTCTGTTAGTAAGGTAAAGTACAAAGGAGTGAGGCTACAGACCTGCTATGAGCACTGCAAGGTACTCGCCGTGGAAATAGGAGTTGATCTCCTCTGGAGCCTGGGAATATCTCACAATACTCTGTGTTGAGCTAACTGGATGAAGAAGTTCACTGTAAGCCTGCTGGTGGTTGACATCGTTCAGACTGGGTTTCTTCCTGTAGTCCATGTGACTTTGTCAGGAGCTTCACCTAGAAAGGATTCCTCCACTGTGTTATATGCTCCCACATTTGCAACTCCTTTGTTCTTATAAGTGAATGAAAAGGCTTCTGTTAGTTTAATCTATAGAGCCCTTGCTCGTTATAGAAAATCCATGGATGATTCTACTAGTTTGAAAAGCAAAATTCATGATAACTATGCTTTGTATTGCTTGATCAACTCCTGCCAGAGACAGGACATCACCTTCCTCTGAGAACATCTGCAACATTTGCAATTGCAGAGTGCCATAATGTGTGGTGGTGATAACATCCACGTCTTCCTTCTCTGAATCATGTGGAGTTACCAAAACAGGCATTGTCCCTTCAACAAGGCATGACGTGCTGATGATGCGCGTACCTTTCATCCTCTAGGCACAATGTCTTAGTGAGTTCTTAAAACTGCTGTAGCATCAAATTATCTGCTAAGGTGTTGCAAAAAGGGGTGTAAACAGTGGGATAAGCCCCTCCATGATACCTGTACCCCACTTCCTACCCCTTCTTCCAATGACCTTTGCTTCAGGGATGGGAGACAAGTAAGTAACATATGCAAATGCACGGTTCAAGTGAGAACAAGCACAACACTACAATAAAACAGTGCACAGGAAATGTGCAACTGAAATGTGTTTACCTCCCTCAGGCTATCCCCAAACACTCTTATTCTTTGCTTAGGACATACCCATATCAAACCTTTTACAGCCATTGTTACCTTTTATAGCCATACTAAACACAAACACATTAATCCCTCCTTCACACAAGACACTAGCTGGCTCCTCCTCTGGCAAGATGTATCCTTACCTTCCCTTCAAAACAAAACATTATTGTTCACCAATCCCTGATAGCCTAAGATTAAGATTAATTACATTCATAGAATCATAGAATTGTAGAATATCCTGAGTTGGAAGGGACCCATAAGGATTATCAAGTCTAACTCCATTCTAGACCTAGAGTTCTCCCAGGACCAGGACTTCTATTTAGGAAGTCCAAGTCTCAGGCATATGTAGTGAAAGGCCTTTTTAGGTTAAAAACATATGTAAACTTCATGATAACAAAGGAGCTTCCTTTCTGCAGCTAAATCTCTCTGACTGCCTGTAAGTACAATGCAGAGGTTTTCCTACAGGCACTATTCTGAGAGGACTTTTTCATAGTCCAAGTTTGCAACAGACTGCCTAAATGATCCAAAGCAGTAACAAATTCCCAGTGAACCTGGAGAAGATCCTCCCACCAGTCATGTGAGACTTCAGTGACTCTGTGACCCAAGAGAAGATCTAAGTGCAGCACCTGGAAAACCCTTTTTGCTGGAGAGCCGGAAGTGCAGTGTTCTTGTTAGGACCTACAATAGATTCATGGAATGGTTTGGGTGGAAGGGACCTTAAAAGATGATCCTGTTCCAGCCTCCTGCCAGTGCAGAGACACTTTCCACTAGCTCAGGTTTCTCAAAGCCCCATCACACTTGGCCTTGACCACTTCCAGAGATGGGACACGCACAACATCTCTGGGCAACCTGTTCCAATGCCTCACCACCCTCATAGGAAAAAAATTCTTCTTGATATCTAATCTAAATCTACTCTCTTTTGGCTTAAAACTGTTATATCTTGTCCCATCACTACACTCCCTGAAAAACAGTCTCTCCCCATCTCTCCTGTAGGCCACCTTTTAGTATGGAAAGGTCAATATAAGGTCACCCTGGAACTTTCTGTTCTCTAGGTTGAACAACCCCAACTTATTAGGTCTCAGTTATTTGTGTCCATGCAGGTTCCTTAGGTGACCTTGATCCTGATCTTCTCCTATAGCGGGTAGTTCTTTCTTCTCCCTGCTTCTGCCTTTGTACTCCATGGATTGGGCTGTACAGCTAGAGCACTTGCCGGTGAAGACTGAGGCAAAAAAAGTAGTTGAGTACCTTAACGTTCTCCATGTTGAGTAGCCAGGTCTTCTGTTTCACTCAAGGGGGATACAATTCCTTTCATCTTCGTTTCCTGATCCCCTTTCCCGATCCCCTCCCTGTTCTCCCAAGCCATATCCCTATCATCTTCCCAGGATGTATATCCCTGTCACCAGTTTTGTTCAGTGTTTTGGTTTGGATAAGAGGCCTTGACTTAGCCAAGCCAGCCTTCTGCCTTTCTTGCCTGACTTCTTGCACGTTGGAACTGAGAGCTCTTGGGCCCAAAGAAAAAAGTCTTTAATTACCTCTCATCTCTCAGTTGTTCCTTTTTCTGTGAGGGCAGTTTCCCAAATCATCCCATGATCTAGTGCCCTAAATAGCCCAAAGTTTGCCTTTCTGAGTTTTAGAATCTTGACTCTACTTTTTGCTCATCCTGCATACCTAAAGAGTGAGAATTGTAGTACAAGGTCATAAACACTGCAGCCTAGGCTACCCCTGATCTTGACCTCTCTGATACGTTTTTGCATTGGTGGGCAACAGGTCCAATGTCTCTCCTCTGGTTGGGCGATCATCTCTACTAGGAAGTTGCCCTAGTAGTTGCCTCTAATAGTTTCCTGGATCTGGATCACCTGCAGTTTGCTGTGCCACTTTTTCGGCAAACATCAGGGTGGTTTAAGTCACCTAGCACAATGAAGACCTGTGAGCATGATGGTTTCTGGAGTGGAGGAAAGAGCTCTTCATCTATCAACATCC